GGCATGGAATTCAAGGAAGACAACGTTATCCCTAGAAAGCTTAGAGACTAAGAGAAGGTTTTTGGTTATTTAGAGAACATGTAACAAATCATTTAGCAATAGCACGCGAGAAACAGAAGGCATGACAGCTTTGCCAACCTTATCAATATCAAGTGCTACTCCATTACTTACAGTAAGCTTACCTGGTCCAAGAAATTAAGACTGGTTTATCATATTGGATGCATCAGGGGTAACATGGTGTGTGGCCCCCGAGTCCAATACCCATCGATCAGTAGCTGCAGTAACTACATTTTCCTGTGGTTGCATGCTAGAAGAAGAAGCACCTAAAATCCTTTAGAACAACATTCACAATTTGGATTACCTTTCCCAAAAGAATAGCGTGTGTTCCCTGAGCCTTATTTGGTTGAGCCATAGTTGTCAGTTTTTACACAGGTAAACTCTTCATCATATCGATGCCAGCATCGATCGACTAAATGGCCAAGTTTGCCACAGAGTTGGCATTGTAACCTGGTTCGCCCACGCCCCATGCCATGGTTTCTCACACCAGGTCCATTAGCAGAACGATTTGGCCTGGAATCTTGACGACTAGAAGAATTGAAGGACCCACGATCTATACTGCCCTGAGTTAGGTTGACACTAACAAACAATAGATCAACTTGTTCATCAAATCCCACCAACTGAGATTCAACATCCATTAGCATTGTGTAAATGCTATCTAGTGACAATGTTTATTTCATAGTAGTTATAATAGCCATGAATGGCTGATATTCACGTGGCAAACCTTTCAAGATTTTAAAAATGTACTCAACGTGAGATATAGCACTCCCACAAGAATCAAGCAAATCGCACACCTCTTTTACCCGTGTAAGGTAAGTGTGCATGTTGTCACCACCTTTCTTTAACGAGTGAAGTTTGTAATGGATATTGATTAACGCTATTTTGGATCTATTAGTAAAGAACTGCAACACTGTTCGCCAAATTACTGCAGTAGTTTCTACTCCCACGAATTGAGGAAGAAGATGAGGGTTGATGGTCGATACCAGCCAAGAAGCAATAGCACTGTCCTGTACAACAAATTATTCATAGCTTTCATTAACGCGTTCCTCGCCATCTTCATCAAGCACAATTTCTGGTGGAGGTATCAGGACTCCGGTTAAGAGCCGTTCAAGGCGGTGACTCCTAATTGTTAACAGAATCTGTTACTTCCATAACAAGAAATTAGTCTCATAAAAAACGATGTTGACTTTCTTGTTCGAGAAATTCTTCGCACATCCAAGCTAAAGATCCATAGTAAGAACGAGACACCAAGAGTGTTGCGAACAGCGGAAAGAAACTCCTCAAGATCACCCAGAACTGGCGGTGATTGATACCATATTGAGATGCTTCTACTTAACAGAATACAAGTATATTCATTGATCAAGAGGCATATATGAGTTGTACATTTGCAGGCTCTTTATACACTGCTTTGTAAACAGTTATTGCTAATGTATACAAGCTAACAACCTAACTAACAGCTAACAACCTTCTAACAATTGTGGACTCAGCTAACTACTTGTATGCATACGTATACGTACACTGTATATACCTCTAATAATCATCAAAACACAATTAACATTCACATCCAATCATCGTAGTTTCATAACCACAAATAATCAACCAAAAGAATTTACCCTGAGACCAGCCATTGACGTTCCATAATTTTTGTATAGCCCACGATTAATCTCCGAGACTTTGTTTGCTTCTATACCAAGCTTTTGAACCATAAAATCTGCACAAATAGATGCATAAACAACATGTTACATGCCTAAAAAGATACCTAATTTTGCAAACATATATGGAATTTAGATCAAGTATGCAGTAGCATACCTTCAATGTTTCTGGTGCATGCTTTGGATAAACCAGAACTCAGATGATAAAGGGTATCGTCCACATCTGAAAATGGAACATATGCATAAATGTTAGTAACATATCTAGTTTTAGCAGAACAATGATCTGTCTTATATACAACAGAAAAGACTTACTAAAGAGAATATAGTCGTATTAAACACGTGGAAGTTAAAATTTCGGGTAAACTATTATTTTTTTTCTGTTTTCATATCTAAATTTTATTTTTTTAAAAATATATCTAACATTTAGTTTAATTTTCAATTTGGTTCCCAATTGTTAAGAATTTGATGATGATATTGATGTATCATCATAAGGTATTATCACATCATCATTGAAAAAAATAAAATGGTGACGTGACAATAGTTCTATTAATTTTTTAATGATGGGGATACTAAATTGAAATCTAAACTAAACATTAGGTATAATTTAAAAGAAATAAATTTAAATATCAAAATGAAATAAAAGTTAATAGTTTAGACAATAAACGTACAATTTACTCTAAAAATTATTGTTTTCATTTCATTTTGTTATTTATTTTATTAGAATTAAAATTTATTTATTTTTTAATTATAATTGAAAATCTCTATTTTCTAATTTTGTTTCACCTTAGATATTGATAAATTCATTTCATTATCTTTAATGATTTTATCAGTTTAAATTCTTTGAAAATATATTTAACTCACAAAATTAAACATAAAAAATTATTATTTTTAAAAATGTATGGATTTTCTTTGATTTGAGGGTTTTGAGATATATTTAGAAAATTAAATATTGAGAAACATTCTTTTGAGAAGACAAATAATTATACTTCGAGATTAATCTTTTCAAGCATTACTACATGTTCGAGTAATGGCTTGGTTGTGTTCGCACAAATCAACCAGATTGTATCTCAATACAGTAACTGGTCAGTTTCAGAATACAACAATCAATATCATTTCCTCAAATTTCCTTGTTCCATTCCAATGGCGAGGCCTCCAAACACCGCTAAATATCAAATGAATCCTTAAAATAATTTTTCCTTATATCGTTGTTGCAGAACCCTCACAATCCCCGTCAACAGTTCGGATCCACTTACATAATGTAAAACTCATTTAGTTTTTTACACATATTTAAGATCGTTGATGAATGAAAATAGACGATTGAGATTAACTCCTTATTTTTCCTTTTCAACGAATATATTTTCATTTTCTACTATTAATCTCAATCTCAACCGTTTATTTTCACTCATTCAACGGTTGTAAATATGTGTAAAACTAAAAGAGTTTTACTTTATATAATAGGATCTTATCCCTATATATATATATAGGGGTAGGATCCAATTACACCCAGTTTACAACAAAGAGTTTTAAACTTTTTTAGGACTGTTGGATGAGGGAAATCAAATGTTAAGATTAAATCATTTTTTCAGTGAATATCTTCTTATTTCCTACTGTTAATCTTAATATTTGATTTATTCCATCTAATGGTCCTAAAACGTGTAAAATTTTTAGTTGTACACCGAGTATAATTGGGTCATGCCCCTTTGTATATATATAAAGGAAATAGGCTAAATTGAAAAGAAAGAAAATAATAAAGGAAAGATTGAAAGAAAATAATAAAGGAAAGATTGAAAGAAAATAATAAAGGAAAGATTGAAACTAAGCCAAAAGGCTTAGTAATATTATTCACGGAAAAACATGGTAAAATTTATCATCTTCTTCCCCGATTCCATACTTATGAAACAAATTTGAAAAAGGTTTGAGTTTTCATATTTTAATTTTTGGATCAAATTTTCAAGCAAGCTATTAGAGGTAAAATTGTTCTACTCTATTAGTATATGAGAACCCCTGTAATTTGATCAATTTCTAAAAGTTAAGGGAACCAGGTTATGGAATGATTAAAATGTGAAAGAAGAAGCATAGAATGGTTTAATGATTCATGCGTTCATGTAGGGCCTATCAAGGTTTAAACAAAATTTACCTGCTAAAACTAAAGACTAGATTGCAAGCATACGTTTCAATGGAAACATACATTTGAACCATAACATAAAGACAAATCAAAAGCACAATCTATCCATATACATCAGCTAAGCCTTAACTGATGTCTGAATTTGCAAGATAACACCTGCTTTCTTAGTATCTCATTTCCATAGCTCCGGCAGTGCTTCCCTGATGTTGTGTATACTCTCCAATGTATAGTCTGCTCCCTCTATTCTATGGGAAGTGCCCACCTTCATTGGATATTTCCCAAATATCAAACCATGTTCTGCAATATAATCATAAAAATACAAGTCCTTTTTCTGCAATTTATCAACTTACCAACACAGTGTGGAGGCCTATTTCTTTTTCAGATTGTATGTAGCAGATGCTGTCGTCGAAAAAGAGCTGACGTAAACAAGAAAGAGTTGTTAGAACACAGATAAATAATAAAGACAAAATGGTCAATATAAAAGGGTCTACTTATAGTTTCAGTCCCTCTACTACGTTGAAATTTAAGTTTAGATTGATAATTTGATAGACTTAGGTGGCGTTTGGTTTGCTGGAATTAGGGGGAATTGGAATCCAATTCCACCACTTTCCCATGTTTGGTTCAAGTTTTCAAAGGGGGAATTAGAATCCAATTCCATCAAGGGAATGAAAGTAAATTACATCCATAACATGATAGAATTGGTTTCTAATTCATATATTCGGGTCGTGTTAGGTCTCGGGTAGAGGTTCCCTTGTTCTAGGGTCGGGTCGAGTGGACCAAAAACCCGACTCAACTCGACCCATAGCCATCCCTAACTGGGATGATTTTAACTTATAATATTTATTAGTATGATTTTTATAATTTATTGAAATGAATAATCAATAAAATGAAATTTTAAATTTTTTAAAATTTTTATAATATATTGCTACATGTAAGTTATAAAACAAACTAAAATTAAGCAAAAAAACAAGAAGGGCAATTCTGTCATTTTATATTATTGAAATCAAATTCATCTGACATGTCTGCGAACCAAACAGAATATGAAATTGGATTCCAATTCAATTTCCTGCCAACCAAACAGGTTTCAGATTCAGATTTCAATTCCTTCAGGTTCCAATTCCTTCATAGATTCAAATTACCTCAGAAATATTACAGCGAACCAAACGCTACCTTATAGTTTTTTGAGGGTTGATGTTAGCAATCCTGAAGGCTTGTTCAAATGCATTTTTAAATGGTTTGCAGACAATTAGAGTCTCTGGAAGTACTGATTGGGAGTTATCAAGAATTTCAACCACTGATTCTCTCAACTTGTAGCTCTTTTCATCATCTAAAGGATTGCTTCCATTAGTGGGATTAAGGGTCTCAAAGCTTATGACCCTTTCAAAGCAATCCTCCAATTCTAGCTTCCTTAAAACTTCAGCCACATGGATCTTGTCCCCATTTGAGAATATATGTTTCAATATGATAATATCATAAGAAAGTTCCCAGGTAAAATGATTATGTTGACCTTATTGATAATACTTGGAAAAGAAGAAGAAGAAAACTTACAACTTTGCGAATTGGCAAGCTCAGTAACAGATCCCTCAAAACATGATCAGGTTTCAGGATCTCATAAGGCATTCTCCTATGAATAAAGTTGTGGTATTCATCATAGTCAAAGTTGTAGCCAAGTGCCTGCAAATGATCCATCATCAAAACACAATAACAGTCATATGACTCATATTCAATCATCATAGTTTTGGAACCAAAAATAATCAACCAAAAGAAAGAATCAAAGAGATTACCAAGAGACCAACCATTGTTGTCCCATAGCTTCTGCATAGCACACGTTTAATCTCCGAGACTTTGTTTGCTTCTATACCAAGTTTTTGAACCATAAAATCTTCACAAAGAGATGCATTCAACATGCTATAAGTCTAAAAAGATACGTAATTTTGCAAACATATCTGGAATCTACATCAAGTATGCAGTAGTATACTTTCGATGTCATTGGTGTCTCCATTGGCTAAACCATAACTTGGAGGATAAAGGGTATCGTCAAAATCTCAAACTATAACATATTCATAAATGTTAGCGGCATATCTCGTTTTTGCAGAACTACAATGATCTGTCTGATATACATCATAAAAGACTTACCAAAGAGAAGACAATCATATTTTGCTTCTGCAACATGCTGATATCAGCAAGAACAACTAAACCTTCCCTGAACATATGTGATGAAAAATAATGAATTATCAGCTTGAGAGACTTGAAAACCAATTTGAAGAAGCACATCCTTCAGTTTGGCATGCCAGTTGCGAGGAGCCTACTTTAATCCATAAAATGCCTTCTGCAGTTGGCACACAAGAGGCACATCATATGTTGTTGATGTCAACGTGCCTTAACTCCCAATTATTAGTTACTGCAACTGACAAAATAACATTGAGTGTTGTAAACTTTTCAACAGGACTAAAAGTGTCAAGGTAATCATGCCCAGGTACTTGTGAGAACCCTTTGGCAACCAGACGTGCCTTGTACCTATGCACTGAGCCATCAGGGTTTTGTTTTACTTTGAAAAGCCACTTACAGCAGACAACATCACTACCTGAAGGTAGTTTAACAAGTGTCCAAGTCCTATTCCTTTTAAGTGCATCGTATTCTTCTTGAACAGCAGCAGCCCGCTTAGGTGATTTTAGAGCTTCATCAATAGTCGAGGGAACGACCTCATCAAATTGAGAGGAATAAGCTTTGGGCTTGTAAATGCCACACTTACCTCTTGTAAGCATAGGGTGTATGTTCGTATGCGATCTACCACCAGCATTTTCTCTGGCATGAGTGACTCCACTGGCAGGAATTTCAGAGTTTAATTCAAAATTTCCATTTATTTCACTAGAGTCCCTATTGGAAGCAGCTACACCGGTGGATTCTTGAACTGCTCCCTCGGCAGAGCCACTAGCAGTACTCACAAGAGTAGACTCAGTACGTACTTCTGTGGGGGAATTCAACGACTCACTGACACCTTCCATGTTAAATGGCAAGGTTTCTCCTGATTCAAAACTGCCTGAGGTACCCGAATGAGCAGGTTGCTGCATAGGTGCGAACTATTTATTGCTCACGATCTCAAGAGGTTGAGAAAGATGATTCTGTACCACACATGATTTAACTAGGGATGACTTTCCTGCAAAAGGAAACACAATTTCATTAAAAAAAACATGCCTAGAAATATATATTTTCCCATCAGCAGCTAGGCACAGAAAGCCTTTGTGTTGGGGACTAACACCTAAGTAGGTGCACGGTTGTGACCGAAACGCAAGCTTGTGAGTCTGGAAGGGTCTCAGATGAGGGAAGCATTGATACCCGAACACCTTGAGTTCACTGTAATTTGGCTTATGTCCTAACAATTTCTCAGTAAGAGAGAGCCCCTGAAGAACCTTAGTAGGTAGTTTATTAATCAGCTGAGCTGCAGCAATGATAGCATACGACCAAAGCTACTTGTGCTAATAATGCAAGAGCCATTTCGACTAAATGCCTATGTTTTCTCTCAACGATCCCATTCTGCTCAGATGTGTGGGGACATGTTAATCTGTGAGTGATGCCAGCTTTGGTTAGAATTGGGGAAAGACTACGAAATTCCCCGCCCCAATCACTCTGAACAGATTTAATAGTAGCACCAAACTGTGTTAACGTCATCTTTTGAAAGAGTAAAAAAGCTTTAGTGGCCTGAGACTTATATTTGAGGAGATAAATCCATGTGTGTCTGGTACAAGCATCGACAAAAGAGGCATAATACCTAAAGCAATTCAAGGATATGTGTGGAGGTCCCCATAAATAAGTGAAAATAAGTTGAAATGGAGTTTCATAGAATGTGGTTGATTGCATAAACGGTAATTTGTGGTTTTTACCCATTTGACAAGCAGTACATGTTTTATTAATATCAAAAGAGAGTTTTACATCGAGCTCTTTAGTTACTTGTCTTAGTGTTTCAGTGGAGGGATGGCCAAGTATTCTATGCCATAACTTCTCAAGCTCACTAGTCATAGTTTTAGTAGCTAAACTAGCATCAGCAGCAGTGCACCTGTCTTCTTTTCCAGTGTAATTTGCCACAAATGAGTAGAGCCCACCAGATTCCTCACCAGTCAGGAGCACACGTTTGGTAATCTCATCACGAACACAACAGTTATTTTCATGAAATTCAAAAAAGATGTTGTTGTCCCTAGCAAACTTCGAAACCGAAAGCAAATTCTTCGTTATATGAGGGACGTACAACAAATCATGCAACATTAAAATTCTGGATGTAGAAGGTAAAGCAGCCCTACCAACTGTTCGAATGTCAAGAGAAACATCATTACCAACTGTAATCTTACCTGATCCATGGAAATCAGTGGCATTGGTAAGATTTGCTTTGTTTAGTGTAACGTGGTGGGTGGCACCCGAGTCCACCACCCAGCGTTTAGAAAAAGCAGTGGCCATATTCGCTTGAGAGTCTGTCTTTATATGTGAGCAACACTCGCAGCCTTGGTTACTGGCAGAAGACGAGCCAGACGAGGAGTAGTAACTAGAGGAACTTTCTTTAAGAGAGTGAGAATTGGTAGTAACACAATTAAAGTCTTCATCAAATCTGTGCCAGCAACGGTCAACCAAGTGACATGGCTTCCCACAAAGTTGGCATTGGACACGTGTTCGGCCACGCCCTCGACCTCCATTCCTCGATCCAGAACCAGATGACGGAGCACGACTGTTCCTATGTTCTGAACGATTAGTGTTGCTACGATCAGTGTCTCCTAGAGCATAATTGGCACTCATTGGCAAAATTTCCTGCTGCTCATCAAATCTTGCAATTTGGACCTCAGCATCCATCAACATTGTATGTATGTTATCAATTGAAAGATCCTCTTTCATGGTAGAAACAACAGCCATGAAGGGCTGATACTCACGAGGAAGACCTTTCAAGATTGTCACAATTTGCTCAACTGGTGGAACTGCACTACCACAAAAGGCAAGAGCATCACATACTTTCTTGATGCGTGTGAGATAAGTTCGCATACTATCATTACATTTCCTTATAGACTGCAATTTATAATGCAGACTCGTAACAGACATAGTTGAGCGATTTGCAAAGAACTTTAGAACCGTTTCCCAAACGGCAGCAGCAGTATCAGCTCCAACAAATTGAGGAAGCAGATGTGTACTCATCGTTGAAAAAAGCCATGATGCCAGTGCGATGTCCTGCGCGACAAAATCTTCATACTCATTATTTACGCGAGTCTCACCATTTGGATCAATAACCGTCATGGGTAGTGAGGAGACATCACCGGTTAGCAGTCGCTCCAGCCGATGACTCCTGACTGTAAGTAAGATATGTTGTTTCCAAAGCAAGAAATTGGTTTCATCAAGAACCACGGTAACTTTCTTATTGGAGAAGCTTCGAGACGACGTGGAGGTAAGATCCATGGTTGAGTTGATCTGCAAGAATTTAAATTCACGAGCAGAAGTAAGAACACTTGATCCCACGATCAATGGCGATTGATACCATGTTGGATATATGATCTAAGCTAATGAACACATGAAAACAGAATGAAGAAGATGAAGAAGTATGTTATTGATCTACACCTCTTACACTCTTATATACAACTTTACAAGGTTGCTACAGAATTTGTAACTAACTGCTAACAACCTCAACAGATCTTTAACAACTTAACTCCTAGAAGGCTTCTAGAATCATTCATGTTGTATGTTCTAGAAGTGTTGGCGTGCACAGACTCATAGTGCTAACAAGAAAGAGAAATGAAAAGGGCGAAGATGGTAATTTACATAGGGAAAGGGAAGCCATGGAAATAGTAGCATCGATTGCTGATGAACAGATTGGAAAAGATTTGAGACAGTTGAAAGAGACCATAAGATTCTTAATTTAGTCTTTTCTTTAAACCTGTAGGTTAGGTATAACCACTTTCCATGCTCATACATAATTTAATGCCCCCCTCTATTATGCTGAAATTTGGATTTTCTATTTTGATTTAGCATAGTTGAACGCGTTTAGTCCCTAGTAAATATTCATTACTGTTAATTAATAAAAAAGAAATACCTTTAAATATTTTTGGTTTACTAGAGGTTACGAGGTGTGACTTCGTAATAGAATATGGGTAAACTCCATGTAAAGGAACCAACTTTCAGCATTTGTCTATTGTGGTCACTCAACTATACAGATTTTCAATTTGACATTAAACTTTAGAATATTACTCATTTAAGTCACTCAATCGTTTCTTTTAATGTCATTTAATTTTTTTTATAAATTTATGGGAAAAACTAAAACTTTTCTTTTACAACTAGATTTTTGGATTCTTTTAGAATATTCAGAGTACTAGTGTATTTTCTTTCAAATTCAAATGGTAGGTAGGTCGAAAAAGTAAGTAGAGAAAAATAATATATATTGATATCACACTGACCAAACCATGACGATTATAGATTGAACCAAGATAAGATCAAAGCTTTGATTTGATTTTCGTCGATTTCAAAGGACTCTGAAAAAAGTCAAACTACGAAAAAGAAATAGTGAAGAAAGTAGAATGTCTTATTACTAATTACGTCACAAACGACAATAAGTTGTAGTTAAATGATGATGAAGAATGTTGATCATAGAGAAGAAGATTAAACTTTTAGGTTAATTTTATAAATAAAAAACACATTAACATAACATTTTAGTGTTGAAGTGCAAGGATGGATGTACTTGGTACACGGGAGGGGCTGTAGCCCTCATCCCGCAATTTTTTTACATTTAATTTATATATATAATTCGAATATAGAAGGGATAATTATAAATTACCCATACGTTCTTAAAATTAAGCTGGGATTCTAATTCCATCCTTACTGACGATAAAGACTTAATATTCATGTGACCTAAACGAGCATGATTTAAAATTTAGTGGTCAAATTGATATTTTGATCATTGGTTGATTAAAATAAAAGTACGC